GATTCAAGGTCGAGGGCGGGCACCAGGCCCGGCTCCGATCACTGCGAGAGGGCGGCTTGGAGCGCCCCAGCGTTGAGTCAGAAAACGTCGACCCCTTTCGGCCTCACTCTCCAATCGACCCTTCACAGCTCGGTGTTCATCATGTTAGCCCTGCGGGCGGTCAAGCATGTCCGGCGCCATCGTTTGTCTCGGGAACTACGTGTACTTCTCCGGGCCTGCAGGGGGACCCCTACGAGGAGCTCATGGGCCAGCACGGGGACCCCTACAAGGAGCACGTGGGCCTGCACGAGGACCCCTTCATCTCCAAGGGCCAGCACGGGGACCCCCACGAGGAGCTCATGGTAGACAACAGCCTCACGCGTGCTGATGCCTCTTACGTCGAGGGGGACTCTTGGGACATGGAGGAGGTTCCTGGGCACCTTACCCGAATGGATGCCTGGAAGTCAGTCTCGGCGCAGTCGGTCTCCACGGGGGCCAACATACTGTACCTGGAGGGGGAGGCTCTGGTCACGTCTTATCGCCATCTCCTCCGAGGTCTTGGCGCTCATGGGGCTCGCATGGTCGCTCTCGTGGACAACCTCCCCTTAGCCCTCGCCTGTGCAAAAGGAAGGGCTCGGTCAAAACACTTGAGGTCGTGCCTGAACCAGCTGTGTGCGTTGTCCTTGGCCACTGGCTCGAAGTTGTTCGTTCGCTGGATCGCCTCGGAGCGTAACCCAGCTGACGGCCTCAGTAGAGGCAAGCTCGGCTGGTTCACCGGCCATCGACACCTTGGCCATGCGAGGACCCGCCCTGGTCGTCGCGGCGCTCGGCCTTCTGTTCGGGCTCCTGGCGCGCGAGGCGCAGGCCATGCCGAGGCAGAGGGCCCCTACGCCTTCAGCCCGGACTCGCCAGCGCGCCCAGCTGGCGGCGGCGGCGGCGCGCGGGCGGCCGCTGGTGGGCGCCCTGACGCTCTTGGAGCAGCTGGCCGTGAGGCCGAACACGGAGGCCATGTACCGCCAGCTCCTGCAGACGTTCATCACGTACTGCTGCGACCACCGCCGGGACTGGAGCAACCTGCGCGAGCTGGACCACCTGCTCGCCGAGTACTTCACCTCTCGCTACATCTCGGGGGCGGCGGCGAGCGTCGGATCGCAGACGGTGGCGGCGCTGGCTCACTTCACGCCGGGTCTCCCCAGGCGGGTGGGCTCTCTCTTGCCCCGCGCCTCACGCGCGATGCAGGCGTGGCGGAGGCGGGCCCCGACCCTCACGCGGCTGCCCATCCCGAGGGCGGTCATGTTCGCGCTGGCGGGCGTCCTGATCGCCTGGCAGCAGGCGCCCATGGCGGCGTGGCTGGCGATTGCGTTCTCGGCATACCTCAGGCCTGCCGAGGCTCAGCGGCTGACCACGGACAGCATTGTGGAGCCCTCAGCGTCAGCGGGCCCAGCTTACCAGTTCTGGGGCCTGCTCCTCCACCCCGCAGACCGCGGGCAGGCGGGCAAGACGGGCGCCTTCGACGAGTCGATCCTCTTCGACCTCGACCTGTACTTGGTGCCGGTGCTCATGGCGCTCCGCTGTCGGGGGGGCCCGGGCACGCCGCTGTGGAGCTTCTCCCTCGGGGACCTGAACAGGATGTTCATGCTGGCGGCGGCGGCGCTGGGGCTCTCCCATCTGCGTCCCCACCTGTATGGGATGAGGCACGGGGGAGTGAGCGACGACCTCCTGTCCCAGCGGAGGTCGCAGGAGCAGGTTTACCGGCGAGGCCGCTGGGCTGTGCCATCCTCGATGCGGAGGTACGCGAAGGAGACGGCCCTCTTGCGCGAGCTGCAGGGCGTGCATTCGGACGTGTACGTATTCGGCGACCTGGTCGCGCAGAGCTTCGCGCTGCTGATCGAGAAGGGCTTCGCAGGCGCGGGGCTGCAGCGGCGCATTCCGGCCAGCCTGCTGGAGGCGCTCATGGGCGGGCCATCGCAGCCCAGGCGTGTGAGGCGGCGGCCTGCCAGCCGCAGCTGAGCGCTGCCAGCCTTGCCGGCGCCAGCGCTGCCGCCGGCTCGGGGCGTCTTCGGCCGCGGCCGAGCGGCTCCGACTGCGCCGACCACCTGCGGCGCCGCTTCAAGGCTGCGGTCAGCCGCGGCTCGCTGTGCCGACGTCGGGTGGTGCTGGAGCTGTTCTGCGGCAGTGGCCACTTCTCTGCCGCCGCCCGCCGCCTGGGCCTGTCGGCGCTCGGCCTGGACCTTCGGCTGTCGCCGCTGGAGGACCACTGCCGCCGCGACTTCGAGCGGGTGGTGACCGGCTGGCTCCGCAGCCGCGCCGTGGCAGCCGTCTTCCTCGGTACGCCTTGTACGACGTGGTCTCGAGCGCTCCGGAAGGCTCTGAGGTCGCGCGCCCATCCGATGGGCATCAGCGGCCTTTCGACATCTGAGATCGCCCGCCTGACTACGGGCAACGCCTCGTTTTACTTCACATGCCGCATCATACGCTTATGCTGTAAGTTAAACATACCTGTGCTGCTCGAGAACCCTGCCAGTTCTTTAATGTGGCAGGCAAAGCTTCTTTCGTCCCTCATCATTTCCCAGTGTGCTCGTGTGTGTGATTTTGATCAGTGCCAATTCGGAACACCCTGGCAGAAAAGGACCAGGATCGCGGCCTGGAGGACGGGCCCTCTTACCGACCTGCATCGGCTCTGTAAGGGCCGCCGGGGTCTCTGCTCTCGCACTGGAAATCGGCATACCATTCTCACGGGCCAGGCCCCAGAGGGCTGTAAATATACTGCGTTGGCCGCCGCCTATCCCGCCAGTCTGTGCACGGTGTTGGCTAAAATCGTCAGAGAAGCAGTTCTGAAGAAGCCACGGCAAACCATGGCCGATTTAATATGTAAGCCACCCGCTTACCACATCTAGCTACCTTCATATTTTTTCGGCCTTTACTGCTAATGCTACAGGCCAGGTCTTCCTTATGGGGTATGGGACCTCATCTGTATGTGCCTCGCCGTCCGTACTATAGGTGGTCAATGCTAGTACCTCTCGTCCGGCAGATATCTGCCGTGCCTGGCTCGTGCTTCACACATATGATGAAAAGAAGCGCTCCTGCCCGTCGTCGTCACCGTCGGCGCCGGTCGGGGCTGCGTTTGTCATCTAATAGATCTGGCACTCGTCTAATCAGGGCGGGCTGGACAGTTTTAACAACGTGATGCAGAGCCCTGTGTGAGAGTGCCGCACGTTCGATATGTCAGTTCAAATCCTTCGGTTTTCCGCTGACATATGTGCTCAAGTGCACCCACCCGCATGCCGCCCTCACTTGAATCCATTATAATGCAGTCTTTCTTCTCGGGACCTCATCTGTATGTGCCTCGCCGTCCGTACTATAGGTGGTCAATGCTAGTACCTCTCGTCCGGCAGATATCTGCCGTGCCTGGCTCGTGCTTCACACATATGATGAAAAGAAGCGCTCCTGCCCGTCGTCGTCACCGTCGGCGCCGGTCGGGGCTGCGTTTGTCATCTAATAGATCTGGCACTCGTCTAATCAGGGCGGGCTATATATATATAGAGAGAGAGGGAGAGAAAGAGAACATGAGAGAGAGAGAGCGTGAGAGACAGGAAAAGGAGGATGTTGGGGTGGGGACGAGGCTACGAGAAGCTGGAGTGAGGAAGAGGAGGAGGAGGAGGAGGAGGAGGAGGAGGAGGAGGTGGGGGCGAGGATGATCGTGCCTGTTTAAGGACGACTTGGAAGGACAAGTCCTCAGCATTCATACGTGTTCATAGGGTGAGACGATTTGCGCCCCATCTTTTTTTGTCTTGGAGGATGCAACTCCTGGAAGTTTGAATCCAGCGTCGGGGCTGGTATACCTGTGGTCGAAAACCGGGTCTGATCCGATGGCATGCACAATTCCGTCGAGTCCTTCGCAATCCTGGTCGATGCGGCTAAATGTTGTCTTTCCTCCGGCTTGCTTCGGCTCAGTGGTCCCTTGATCGTAGCCCTGAACTGTTATCACGAAGACCTCCGCACTCCGAAACTCTCGCACTCCGCACTCCGAACTTGCTTCCGGAACTCTCGCGCTCCGCAACTCCTCACGCAGTACTCGCTTCTGAATCTCTCGCGCTCCGCCGCGCTGCTTCTGCGGCATCGGCCGAGCCACACGCCTCCCCGTCCCCGGTGGGGCCCCACCCATCCAGCGGTGCGACGGGAGCGCAGGGTCCGGGGGGCGCGCTCCTTCTTCGGCCTGGGAGCGCTGGTGTCCGAGCTGCGCCCTTCCCGTCCCCCCCCCACCCTAACTCCCCCTCTAATCGGGCCGGGCGAAAGGGGGGGATTGGGAAAGGGGGGGTTACGAAATTTGCTGCATGCAGCTGGTTTCGGCCTCACCGAGGGGCCCATTCCTCGATACATGGGGGCCTCCCGGCGCCTGGAGGCGCCAGGAAAATCAGCTACGTGAGCTGATTCTCAAACCCCCCCTTTGCTATCCCCCCCTTTCGCCCGACCCGATCTAAGCACGACGTGCTTGCCAGGACGCTCCAGAAACGTACCTTCGCACGCCTCGAGAGGGGGAAGAGGTACCGATACCGCTGTGCGCACGCCCATGTTGGGCCCATTGGGAGGCCCTCGGCGCCACGGCCGGACTCGCCTCCAACTTCGGGCACGAGTGTCGCCTCCCAGGGCCCGACGCGTGGGAACTCTCAAGCTTCCGTACTCTGTGGGTGCTCGAAGCTCTTTCTGGTGATCACGGCTAGACTACACCTTAGGCGATGCTCAAGAAAACTTAAGTTTTCGGCCAGAGTCTCGATTATTCTTAACGTCTCAATCTAATTCCTAAGATTTTGATAGAAATTCGGGGTTGAAATTAAATTCTGAGACTATGAATTTCTTAACCCATGATTTCTTAAGCATTTCGCAGGGTGTAGGCTGGAACATCTTGACGGCATCGGTACCTGTTGGTTTCCCCGACTCCGTCCACCGCCCCTCCGCACTCAACCCCTCGCTCACCCCTCTGGCTCGAGCGCACTGCGCGAGGCCCCCGCGGCCCCGGGGGAATGGCGCCCCCCGTCCCGCGGAGGTCCCCCGCCCTGGGGCAGCCCGCACCGGGAGCAGCGGGAGCAGCAGGAGGATCGGGTATTGGCAGGACCCATGAAGGATCGCGTCGTGGAGCCGATCGCGACCGTGGACAAGCACGGTTCGAGGTGCGAGGTGTTTGGCAGTTTTCGTTGGTCCTCCTCGGCTACTCCGCCTGGGGCTGCTCTCAGGCAGCCGCGCCTCGCCGAGAGCGTTCCGGAGGTGCCCGGATCGTCCCGATCGGCCGCCGGAGAGCCGAGTCATGGCCCGAAAACGAAACGTGCTCGCGTCGTGAAACGTATCACGACTTACCAGCCTGGAACACATCCGTATCCTTATGATTGGGGACGCCTCATCTCGCCGATCTTCAGGATTCCCTCAGCTTTCGAGGGCGCATCCCTGAGATTGTCATCGGTTTTTGGCCTGCCAATCTTAGGGATAAGGATCAGTTCGATGTTGGTTAACGACGGACTGTTTTGGGCCGTTTTCGGAATCCCGGGGCCCTTGGCGGGCCCAGGACCATCAACAAAAACGACTCGGGACGAAACGCCGGCCCTGAAGAGAAGGTTGGAAATTTTGCGGACGCTGCATTGAACAAATCAATACGTCGGACGTCTGGGGGGATGATCGGACAGTGCCAAGAAGAAGGTCACCAGTAGGGGGGTCGGAGGGTTACCCACTCCATCCTGGAAGTCGCTGACCTAGGAGGAGGAGGAGGGAGGAGGGAGGAGCAATGTGTTTCTGGGCGTCTCTACGAGACCTGTGGGTTTCTGGGCCGTGTCCGCACGACCCCCCTTGGCGTTATGCCTGGGCGGCGCCCTGGCCCAGGCAGAGATCCGGCGGCTCGAAGGACCGGGACGGCCGGTCTAGCCCGCCAGTGGGGATTTCCGGGAGGTCGGCTTCGGGCCCCGTGCAGGGCTGGGAAGAGAAACGACTCGGGGCGGAAAGGACGGCCCCGAGGGAAGGGTCGAGAGGTCCAGGGGGCCTTTCCGGACAAGATCGCGCCGTCGGGTCTCTGGGGAGATCAGGTGGAGCAGGAGGCCGCGTGGGGGGCGACGTGGGGCGCCCAGGAGCCAGCATGCACATGAGGCTCACTGGGATGTTCGTCAGCAATAGTTCCTGGGACCCTAGCTGGCGTGGTTATGACAGGGGGTGGATCGCTGGGCGAGACCCGTTTGGCCGGCATGCGGAAAATTCCGAATCCGAGTCCTTTGGCCCTCCCACTCTCTCCCATGCCAGCAGCGGCACAGGCGCTGACTGCCGGGTCTGTGCAGGATTTCGCGATGCTCAGCGGACGAGGGCCCCGGCAGATGAAAGTTATTGGTCCATCGAGGTGCTGTCCACACACGGCCCCGAGTTGTCTCCAAATTCTGCAGGTGCGGACCACCAGGCCTCCTTGCATCAAGAATTGTCCTCATCCCGAGACTCGTGCTAGGGACCCAGACGAATGGCTTCATGGAGGATCCCAATGTTGGAGGAGGACCCTGAGGCCTGACGTTGCAAAATCAATGCGACACCGCGAAATTTCACAATTGGAGTCCTAGAACCCATCATTCTGCGCCATGTTTCGAGATAGACCGATCTGTGAGGGCGGAAACGCCTCTTGCGAAAACAGTTGCAACTCGCGGGAGACGAGGTGGAGGAGAATGGGGAGGAGCGGGAGGAGGAGGGGGGCAGGAGGAGCAGGAGGGGGGCGAGGAGGAGCAGGAGGAGGAGCAGGAGGAGGAGGGGCAGGATGAGGAGGAGGAGGAGGAGGAGCAGGAGCAGCAGGAGGAGGAGGAGCAGGAGGAGGAGGAGGAGGAGGAGGAGGATGAGGCCGAGGTCGCCCCTGGGCCCCGCGACCCGCGTGGCGCGCGGCGCCGCCCCGGCCGCGCCGGCCCCCGACGCTGCCTGGGCCACCGCGCCTGAAGGCGTCGCCGCCGCCGCGACGGAGGAGCCGGCAGGCCGCCCGGGGCGGGCGTCTGCCTCGAGCAGCCCGCAGCGCGGAGGAGGCATCCTGGCAGTGGCGAGGCGTCCTGGCCTGCCCGCAGGCTTCGTCGGGCCTGCCCTTCTGCAGGAGGAGTTTCCAAAAATAGTCAGAACATGGTCAGGGGACGATCTCTTTAGTATCTTAACTATCTGGGATGTTTTTGTATTTTCTGTTGTTTCGCCAAAAATCCGCCTGCAGGGGGTCATGCCCGACCTTACCGTATCGGGGGCGGAAAGAGGCGGGTGATGACTAGGGGGGGTGGATATCATGGCGTGGGCCATGATATTTCCCCAGATGTCATGGCGCCTCTTCTTATTTCATTACGTCCCTGGCCCCCCCGCTGGGCCGCGCACATGCCGCCGGTCATGATTTGCACCCCCCCCTCTTGGACACCCCCCTCTTGGCCGCTCCCGACCGTAGGCCCGCCACTGAATGTTCTCAGAGTCTTTCGTGACTTGGCCGGCACGTCCTTGGATCAGCACTGGACCCCCCCTGGCGGCGCCTCCGGGGCCGCCCCTGGCCCGCTCCGCGCGCCCGGCGAGGGAGGTCAAGCGCCGAGGCAAGATATCCGCGCGGGCCTCCGAGGGCTGATGGATACGCCGTGCTCTTGCGATCCTCTCTCCTCGGTCCTTCTCGATCCTCGAGCCGACATGCCCTTTCCCCAAAGAGGTGCTGCGGAGGAACCGGGCGAGGAGGAAAAAGGGATGAAGCGAGTCTTAAGATATTCGCAACGTGCAAGCACGGAGATGCTGCGCAAACCGTTTCCGCAGGCCGTCGTCGTTGGCAGTGGGACCACGTGCAGGCCTATGAGCGTCCGAGGGGCTGCATGGAAGATGTGCCAGCATGGAAGAGTTTAGACCTCCGAACCCAGACCTCCAATATCATGACCTGTTCACAGTTCACGACGCGGCACCCGGGGTCCCGTCCCCTTCCTGGCGTGAGTTTGCGTCCCGATCCGGACCGGTTTCTGAAGGCCCCAGGGCCCGATCTCATGCCTCCGGGGGCCGAAATCAAACACCATCGTATGGATTGAGCAGATCATATCGTCGGAGATTTGGGGATCTGAGGCGGGGTGGGAGGAGGAGCGCAGCTCGATATTCCTCCGCTGGGTCCAGGTGCCGCCGCCTAGCTCAGCGGAGAAGGATCAGGCTCCGTCGTTGGCGGGGGAGGGGAGGGAGGAGGGGGAGGAGGAAGAGGAGGGGAAGTGGGAGGAGAAGGAGGAAGGAGGAGGAGGAGGAAGAGGAGGGGAGGAGGAGCCTAGCCCGATCTTCCCGCTGGTGCCAGGTGCCGCCCCCCCCGCGCCCACGGAGCCTACCAGCACGGAGGATGCGCCCGACGGAG